GGTTTTTAGTTTACTTCGTTAGAGAGAGAGAGAGAGAGAGAGAGAGAGAGAAAGAGAGAGAGAGAGAAAAAAAAAAAAAAAAAAAATCGTCGCCCAGAATTTGAAAACACTCCCGGATATGTGGCGTATTTTGTAGCCTTTTTTTTTTTTTCTTTCTGTGGTTCTTGTAATCGTCGCAGGTGTTTTGTGTTGTTCGCATCGTCAAATTTTTTCTTTTTCTTTGTAATATTTTTTCCCTTGCTTTTTTTACGGATATATTTTTATATCTTCTGTTAGGTCTTGTTTTTTGTCCTTGTCTCTTCTTCTTCTTCTTCTTGTACTTCTTCTTCGCGTTCATCTTACGCTTGTCGTTCTTCGCGTGTCCATCGCTGTGTTCATTCTTCATGTCGCCCAGCCTGTCATCCCCGTCGGGGACCTTGTCTTATATATAAATGAGAGAGAGAGAGAGAAAGAGAGAGTTGGCTTGTCGCATCGAAACTGCATGCATGAAGTTGCCATCAGACATGACGTTTGTACTACATTTTTTAGGTTTCGGTTTTTAGTTTACTTCGTTTTATTTTTTGATCTTGTTCTTTTATTCGTCGATTTTTTTTTTCTTGTTCGGTTGCGAAATGCGACTCCGATATTGTTCGGCGTGTACCTTGCAGCACACACAGCGTTGAGTATATATATATATATATGATAGTCTACTTCAATTTTGGTTAAGGAGGATTATCACTTACAGTGTAATCAGTGAGGGGATTCTACAGACTGTTGAGGGTTCAGCCTCCTGATGAGTCGGTGAAACTCCGACGAAACAGTTTGTCACAGGCCCTCGTTTGTTGTCCTCTTCTTCCTCTCTGCCTACGGTTTACCGGGCAGTTCTATTTGACGATATATATATATATAGATGAATCGGTTAAACTCTGACAAAACAGTTTGTCACAACCCCTCGTTTGTTATCCTCTTCTCTCTCTCTGCCTACGGTTTACCGGGCAGTTCTGTTTGTGACGATATATATATATATATTGTGACGATATATATATACATGATATATATATACATATATATATGTATATAGATAGATATATAGATATGACGTATTTCGTAGGCTTTTTTTTTTTTTTTTTCCTGCGGTTTTTGTAATCGTCGCAGGTATTTTATGATGTTCGCATCGTCAATTTTTTTATTTTGTTTTTATTTTATTTTTTTCTTGATTTTTCGACGGATATTTGTTTTTTTTCTTCTGTTAGGTGTTGTTTTTTGTCCTTGTCTCATCTTCTTTTTTTTTTTTTTTTTTTT